CCTTCCTTCCTTCCTTCCTTCCTTCCTTCCTTCCTTCCTTCCTTCCTTCCTTCCTTCCTTCCTATTCCAGATGATTAGGGAGCAACAGGTACATCTTATACAGCTGCTCAGAAGTTGTTAAGACCCCAGACATTACCCACCATCCTGGGAGGTGGGGCACTTGGGTGTCATATACACAGAGCGGTTTAAGTCTGTGTACACAGCCGTGTCTTGAGAAAGTGGAATGCAGGAATCACTTTGCTGAAGACTAAGGCTGAACTGTGCTGGGGCTGAGATGGGGGGTTCGGGCCCCTCTAAACCTCACTCAGGGTCAGCAGGAGGCTGGCTGGGAAATGCCAACTCTTTCATCAGACACTCATGTTTTACAAGTGTAAAACTCCAAACTCCACTAGTCACATTAATTCATTCATTCACGTGCTCCATCTGTTTTCACATAGTAGGCATGATGTGTGCCAGGCAGGGATCCAAGTCCCTGTGGGTTGGTGGTAGAATTCCTGCCTTTCACGCAGGAGACCCAGGTTCAAATCCCAGGTAAGGCACCTTGTGCACAGCCACCCCCTTGTCAACAGAGGCTTGCTTGTAGCTGTGATGCTACAAGGCTTCAGTGGAACTTCCGGTCTTCTAAGACACACTGGGAAGGAAGGCCTGGAGACCTGCTCAAAAACCAGCAGTGACAAACCCAAGATTCACAAGGGTCTGATCCTGTTGCTTTTAGGGGCTCCTGAGACCCGTGGGGTTCCTTGGGTCACAGACTCATCGCTTGAATCAGACTTGACTGAGCACACGTCCTCCCCACCTGTGTCTCCCCTTTTTCTCTTATAAGGACACGGGCACGCCACATGGGCATCAAGAGTTCAGTTCCTGTGCACTGGAATTAAGTGGATTTTGCAGTAAATTGAGTCGCTGGGGCTATTGGGTTCCCCAGGGGTGATGGGTAAGGCTGCATGGGACGCTCTGGTTTGGTGGTTAGGACGAGGTCATTCTCTTGATGAGGTGTGATGTCTTGTGGTCATTCTTTTGACAGTTTGAGCATCATCTGGGGGGGATATTTAAGTCTGCACCAGAGCCGTAAGGTTGGCAGGTACAGACCACCCAGGGGCACCTCAGAAGGTGAGTCTGGGGATTTGCCCCTGCAGGGCGCCCACTACCCTATGACTCACCTGCTCTGCCCCAGCAGGGTGCCAGGATCTCCCCTGACACACCTGATCTGCCCCTGCAGGGCTTCCCCCTGACACACCTGATCCACCTCTGCAGGGCTTCCCCCTGACACACCTGATCCACCCCTGCAGGTGCCCTATTCCCTCCCTCCCCGACACACCTGATCTGCCTCTGCAGGGTGCGCTGTTCCCTTCTGACACACCTGGGATCATCTGAGGTCAGAATGGACCCCATGGTAACTAACAGTGAGGGACAGAGGAACAACCAGGGTGGCTGAGGACACGTCGGGAGAACTCTTCTGGGCTGAGAGGCAGTGTGTCTTCGTCGTGAAAAGGAAAACTGGGTGTGGAGACAGATCACAGCCAAAGACAAAGGGTTTTCCCACACAGCTTGTCCTGGGATCACCTTCTCTTTGAACCTGGACCATGAGATCAGTCGTTCGTCACCATCATGCTTGGAACTGACTCCCAGCTGACCCTCCGGCCAGTCTTCAGAGGCTATAAATCACATGGGAGGAAACTGTCCGTCTTTCTCCCTCAGAGTGGACTCGAGCCACCTGTCTTGGGGTTGGCAGCACAACTCCTTACCCACTGGGCCACCAGAGCACCTAATACACATCAAAACTTGACCCTGATTATCCTAGGCGGAAGGAGGACAGACGGTTTTCATTTTCCTTTCTGGGCCTTTCTACACTGGCAACAATGAACACACAACACTACAGAAATTACTGACAAAAGTTTGTTGCTGTTGTTGTTGTTGTTAGGAAGAAATGGACAGCCAGGCTTGCAGGGAGGTACCCTCCCTGGGAATCAAACCGGGGTCTCCCACGTGGAAGGAGAGAAACTGCTAGCACTGGTCTCCCAGTGCCCCTAACTCTGGGGAATAGATGTTGTTTCCATTTCAGAGACAAGAGAGCTGAGGCTCAGAGGGCTTTGTAAACGTACACAAGGCCATGTAACTGGTAAGCAGGGACAAAGAGCTTAACCTTGGCCTGATCTCAGAGACCTCGCTTGTAAAAGTGCTGAGCAAATGCCAAGTGACAGATGAGATGCTTTTGGATGTACTGACCCATCTGGGGTCAGTCCTTCCAGAATTTCCCAGGCTGCCAGGCCATTCAATCCACAGGCACCTCCCAGGCCAGGCAGGGTTCCCACGCATGTCTACCTGCCTGGCCCAGTGCCTGGCTCCAAGTGGTGGTCTCAAAACATACATGTCCCTTCTCAAAACTCACTCCTGGTTGATCCCTTCCTTCCTTGTTGAAGACTTTTCCTTCTCTTTTTAAAGTTACTAGGACCTGGCTTGCAATTCAGTATTATAAAAGCTTACTGCAGTCGGCTGCAAACCAAAAGGTCACAGGTTTGAGTCCACGTTTGAGGGCACGTGAGAAGGAAGAGCTGGTGCTGTGATTCCAGACTGTGGAAATGCCTGGAGCACAGTTCTCCTCTGACACACAGGTCACCCCGAAACCCCCTCAACAACTGCTTTTATATGACTTTACACGGAGGCAGTTCGGAGAGGGTGACTGTAACATTCTTCATAACGGTGATGAACAGAAAGCCACGCACAAGTCCATTTGTGACCCAGCCCAGCCTCACAGCGGTCTCCTGGGACAGGATACAACGGCCCCATAGGGCGTCCAGGGTGAGCTCTGGTGGCCGAGTGGTAAGGAGCTGTGCTGTCAGCCCAAAGGCACACAGTTCAAGTCCACCAACTGCTCTGCCGGAAAAGGAGGGGCAATTTCCTTCTGTACGACTTCCTGCCTCTGAAAACCTGCTGGAGGGTCAGCTGGGAATTGGTTCCCACATGAAGGCACAGAAGCACCACCATCCTGGGAAGACAGCCTGTCTTATCTCTCTCCCTCAGAGCGGCCGGGAGGTCTGAGCCGCTGACCACTGGGGTAGCCCCGTGTCTAATCGTCAGTGCCACCAGGCGCCCCGTCCATTGTCAGAGGAGCTACTGTGCTGGCTGCCATCGGGTCAGCTATGACTCATTGTGACCCTATGGACAACAGAGCACAGGCTGCCCAATTCCGTGCCAGGCTCCTCCTCACTGCTGCACCCATGCCCACTGTGGCTGGCACTGTCCATCCACCTCCTGAAAGTTTTCCTCTGTCTCGCTGTCCGACCGTCCATGCCTGACGCTCTCAAGAGACTGGTCTCAGGCCCCAGATGCGTGAGGCAGAGCGTCCCCAGCCTTGGTCATAAGGAGCCCTCCGACTGCTCTTCCTCCAGCCGGCTCAGGTGGTCTCTTGGCCGATCGCAGCGTATTCAGTTACGTCAGAGAGCAGGCCGCTTCTGCTGCTTAGTCTGGAACCTCCACTCAAACCTGTCCACCACGGGTGACCCTGCTGGGATTGGAAAGACTGGTGGCCTCGCTTCCAGCATCCCAGTGACA